TTTGGTGCGTGCCTTTGCGGGAAATCTGCGGCCTGGGACCTGAGGCGGTACTGCGTCTTCTAGAAAAGGCGGTGGGGAACTTGGTGCTGGTTTAAATGTCCCTCCAAGCAGAGAGGGCCGCGGAGGGTACAGCTCTCGGCGGCGTCCTGGGCCAGGGCCAGGCTTCCCTCTCTCCTTCCCAGTTCCTGAGGCGGCAGCAGGTCCTGCAGCTGTACAGGAGGATCCTGCGGGCCATTCGCCACGTCCCCGCTGAGGCCGATCGCCGCTATCTGCAGGAGTGGGCCAGGGAGGAATTCAGGAGGAATAAAGACGCTACGGAAGAGGTGAGGATGGGGAAGCCGCAGCCCCGGCCACCTGCCCCCGGCACGACCAGCGCGCCGTCCCGCGCTGCCTGGCCTGGGCTCGCTTCGTGGGACTCACGCTGGACTGGTGGGGAGCTGCCTGCTGCCCTCTTCTCTTCAGGAGCATTCGCGTGAAGAACTCCTTCAACATCTCTAAGTGTTATGCCCCTGTTGGCCGTAGTCATGTTTCGCGGATTGCCAGAGAGTAATCTCTAATTCAAAAGCTAAAACACAAACAAATCCTGCTTACTCTAATCACAAATCAGAAAAATTGTACTAAATAACAGGATAACTAACATAAACTTACCAACAGTCAAGCTTTCTATAGCTTCTTTTTTTCATCTTTAATTTCAACTATAGTCGAGCTGAACACAATCAAATTGGATGGTTGTGGATAGGAAGCACGTATGAAATGCAGGCACCTTCACACTTGTATGTCTCCTGTTCTCGGCTTTCTAGTTCGTTCCTTTTTCTAGCCAGTGCTCAAGGAGTCGGTGGCTGAATTATGCAGACAAAGCATTACAGTACTTTTAGATAAAAATAACGTTGAAACATCCCCTTGCTCTGTAAAACACCTGTCTTCATAACGCCTGTGCACAGTCGTCCCTGCTTACTTGCGAAGGTGATGGCCACAGACGTGTAAAGAAACCATTATTAGGAGCTTGAATCCAGTGCAAAACTGAGTTTTAAAGCAAAGCCATAACCAGCTCCCAAACACATCATTAAGGAATTGGACAACATTAATTCACTTATTCACCTGTTTTTTTAACCATCTCAGTGACTATAGCGGTACGTGGCACAAAGAAATAGATGGCACTAGTGCTGCGAAGAATCGTGTGTATTTTAACATGTTAAAATCTGCGTGCTTGTGTAAAACCTGCGCTGTGCGCAGACGTTCGGTTCAGTAGCTTCCGTTTTGTTTTACAGGATGCAATCAGGATGATGATTACTCAGGGCAACATGCAGCTTCAGGAGCTTCAAAGAACACTTAAGCTGGCAAAATCCTGATTGTCTTCATTTCGTTGACAGCTGGGCTTTGATCTGCTGCGAACAAGCATAGTATTTTTTCCAGATTCTGTTTATGATAGCAGCCTTTGCTGACAACCTGGTAACGTTTGAAGGTGGAATCTGCCACAGCGGGTTTTGGGTTTTTTTCGTATTTTTTTTTCCCCTTTCTCTTCTTGGTTTGGTTACCCTCCCGTGTGGAAATCCCTCCCGACACAAAGGCCTTCTTTAAAGAACTGAATGGAGGATGTAGCACGTGCTGTGGGAAAAGCAGAAAGCACCAAAAATTACAACAGCAGTGTTCGTTATGCCAGGGAAATGGGAAATAAATATAAAAGTCAGATCATTTTGTCTGTCTTGTCTTGTGGCAACTCTAAGTGGTAACATTCATAGCGGTAACAGCTCTTTCTGTACCGTGCCAAGGATTTGTACCAAAATTTGGGATTAAAAAAAGCGTTTGGGATAAATAAATGGACCCAAACCAAATAAATATGATAAAACATTCAGAAAATGTTTTGTATGTAGATGTTGATTTTCAGTTATAGCTGAATAAAACTTAAGAGGGGAGGTCTTTATATATGAAAATGAGAGATTTTAGCCCCAGGAACGGTTATGACCCAGTTAACAGGAAGTACCTTCAAGTTTGTATTTAAAAGACAATATAAAGTAGAATTACAAATAGAAAATACTAACTGCAAATACTGTGGTCTGTTTTTCTAAATGTCATATTACTCCGCTTCGAATTGTTAGCTTGCAGCTGTTCTTACCTTCCTGTGAATTGCAGTATATGGGGTTCTCTTCCCAGATAATTTAAAAATGCCGAGGTGAGTCTGAGATTTTGTCAACGTCAATAGCCAGGGAACAGCAGACAGACACCCAGCTATCCAGTAGCTGTGTGCAGTTTAGGTTGTGGTTTCAAGAGAGGGAGGACCCCTTCCCTCTCCCGCTCTGCCCCCTCCCCTGGCCAAGCAGGCTTTCCGCCGGCTTCGCGAGCGGCACGGCCTCGCGGCACGGCCTCGCGGCACGGCCGGCCAGTGCCGCCGCGGGCGCGGGGGGAGGGGCAGGGGAGGATCCCCCCGCCCCGGTGGGCCCTTCCCTCTCCCGCTCTGCCCCCTCCCCTGGCCAAGCAGGCTTTCCGCCGGCTTCGCGAGCGGCACGGCCTCGCGGCAGGGCCGGCCAGTGCCGCCGCGGGCGCGAGGGAAGGGACAGGGCAGTATCCCCCCGCCAGGCTGCGGGAGGGAGGACCGACCCCACTCGGAAGCATGCAAGAAGCATGGAGCCAAAGGGGCTTCCAAGCTACATACTTCAGCAAAGCTGTGTTGTAAAAAGCTTGCTGCGTAACAAGAACGAACGCCTTGTTTTTTTCCTAATTCTTTTTCTAGAAAGTCCTTCTAGACTCCTTTCCTGTGAGGTTTACTTAGCTGTGCAGTAAGGGATGTGGCTCGGGCAACCAGGGAGGCTGCTGAAGAGCTCAGGTTTGTATAGGCAGAAGCCTTTGAGCTTCTACTCAGTCAGTGAAAAACACGTATGTCTAAATATTTTGTTAAAAATCTAAATTCTGTTTACATTTTCTGGTAGAGTACATGACAGAACGTGAGTGTGTTGGGGATCGATTTTTTCACGTGACCAGAAAACGCTATTAGGAAGGAATTTTGACTAAACCAAGCCATCATCGATGTCAGCTTGTTCTCACGTGTAGCCTTCCCTTTCCCTTCAGCCAGTGGTTTGCTTTCTGCTCCTTAATTAGGAGACTTTCCCCGGCCGCTTCGTCGCAGCGCTTTCCCTTCAGAGCCCGGAGTCCGCCTCGCCCCTTTGCCTCCGGTTTGTACGGTCCTAGGCCGTGGCCACGGGATCCAGGCGCAGCCTTGCCCCGGGCAGCCGCTGACCTGAGCGCTGCTGCCTGTCATCTCCGCTGATGCGTGGGCTCCTCAAGATAAAATCGCTTGCCAGAAGCCTTTAGGAGTCCAAGCATACTCTGCTAGGGGAAGTAAATTTACTCCAAGGGTGTGCTTCGGAGAAAGGCAGGTAATAGGAGTGTTTTGTAAAGAAGTCCTTCAACTCTTGAAGGAGGGAGGACTACAGAGGGGAGTAGAAAGGAATTAGCATAAAGTGCCTCCCTTCATTTTACAGTACACTTGGCTACAGAAAACCTCTAAAATCAGTACTCTGCAGCTAAGTTCCGCCAGCCGCGTCCCAGGCGGTGGCAGGGTGGGCCCCGGTTCCCTCTTTTAAACAACAAAAGCTGAGAAGTCCAAGTCCAGTTTTCTGCTCCCCCCTTCTCAGTCCCGCGAGGGGATTTTGTCCGTTTTCTCCGGCTAGAAAACATTACACCACAGACTTTGGAGCGACACTTGTTTTAATTGCTTGGCAAAACACTCACTTTATCGAGATGATACAAAACTTAAATAGCATGCTTCTGCATTCCTACAGTAGCTTAAACGAACCTGTAAACATACGGAAGTGTCTATATATTAGACTACAGGAGTCAGAGCAATAAAACTAGTATTTCCGTAACTGCAGACATACTTTTCTTGTCTTGATAGTGCATTGAGGAACTTGAAAAATATTGTTATATAATACAATTTTCTTTGCTTTATACATCTGCTAAGAAGACAAAAGCTTAATTACTAATTAGTCAGTGGTGCCTTCAGTACTGTAAAGTATTTTGTATTGATTTTAGGGCTCCTCTGTACAGAAAAAAAATCTCCTTCTCCTTGGCATAGCAGTACTGTCCTGTGTTTGAATTGTTTGTGAACAATTGTTCTATCGCGACCGGTGAATTAAACTCACTTTTCTAACAGAATCTGATGAGGCCTCCTCAGAGGCACAAGGAGGAAACCCGACAGGGACACAGATGCAACGAGTTACAGGTCTTCTCGTTTATTTGGAGTCTGTCAGCCTGGACAACACTGGTCATTGTAGGTTTTGATTTTATAACAAAACACATCCACAGAAACTTTAAAACGTTGTTGAGTTCTATTTTGTGGGACTGTTGGTGAAACCAGTCCTAAGACCTGCAGACTCACCAGGGCCCGGCCTCTCTCTTTACAGAGACAAGGGAAAAAACAGAGAGAGGAATCGTTCAGAGGAACAAAGGAAGACACGTCTGGGCAAGGTCTCTGGGAGAAAATCCTGACTCTGTAGAAAAAGAAACATCTGAGTACAGGGAACCAAGCTTTCACTTCTTTAGATAAAGGACTTTTTCAAGCTTCTTCAGTAGTAGAGAATTCAGCCATTTGCTGCTTGAGGGAAAAGAGATTTATATTAAAATTACACCTAACAAGTAGAGCATGGTTATGGTAAAATACCTGCCATCCATGCCCTAAGCAAAACTTCTCAGTCAGATTACTTGAGTATGGCCCCACCAACCCGTGTAACCACAAGGAGCTTTGCAACCAGGACACCATGAAAAAAAAAAAAGACAAATCTAATTTAGCCTTTGTTTTAATAATGTAAAGCCAAAAGAGAAGCCCAGTGGCAACCGCAGCCTCTGTACCTAATGGGATGACTCGCCTTAGCATCTCACTCAGCGGGAGCCTGGCCTCTCCCCGCTGGAAGCCGGCATCTGTCACCTACATGGGCTTGTAATGCGAGTTGGTTCTGTAGCTTCTCTCCACTGACTAGAGGGAGGCTGTGGGGAGTATCTAAAATAGTATCAATAGCCCTTCATCACTAAGGAATTTCTGTCAAAAGCTCTCAAACATCCTCGATTTATTTCAGTATTGGTATCACCACGTGTTTACATGTAGCATACAGCGGAACCCTCTAGCCACACGTGAGCTACGTGGAAATAAGGAAATTCCCTTTTCAGAAAGCAGTTTTGGTTTCTAATGCAGTTTGTTTTCAAGCAGCACCTGGAAATCGAGAGTGCAATATTGAACGGACTCTTGGAAATAACAAAGAAGGGATCTAATCTGCAGCATCTCGTTGTCATCGGTACGGTCTGCGTATGGATTCTCCTTGGTTCTGGAGTTTCCAAAGTTATTTCTACTCCTGAAAAAAGAGCGTTTTGTTTGGATGTAACAGGCACTACAAATGATATATATCTATCAATATTCCAGATTCCCATACAGCAGGTTCCAGAATGAGTCCCGTTGCTTGTCTTTACCTGCTCGGTAGGTGCTAGCTCTCTTTCTGCACCTTAGTCCTTAATTTGCTGAGCTCCTCTTCTAAGCTTTTAATATGTTCCTTGAGCGCAGCTTTGTCTTGCTGCGCTTTCTGATTAGCTTGGCACCGGGCTTCTTCTATCTTCCGTTCATACCACTTCTCCATCTGCGTGGAAACGGCCTCGAAGAAGTACTGCGTTATCTCCAGGGCCTGGGAGGTGTCTCTGAGCGGAGGGGCGGGCGGCTGCCCCGCAGGCAGCGCGGAGGGCTGCTGCTCCTGGCTCTGATGCGCCCCGGCGTGGTGCAGAGCTTTGTGCCTTGACTGCCCGCTTTTGCTGGACTTCTTTGTCTGAGTTCCTTTGTCAATGAAGTAGCCGCTCTGTGGCTCAGTCTTCGCAGGTTCAGTCAAGGGCTGCAAAGCAGCTTGAACCTTAACGTGCCTTAATTTGGAGCCCAAAAGCTCGGAGGAGGGCAGCTCCTGCTGGAACCTGTGGAACGTGCTGGCACTAACAGCTTTGTCCTTTGGCCTGACATCTTGAGCAGGGGCAGAAGAAACTGGTCCTCCAATGATTAACTGTTGCTCTGTACCTACAGAATAGAATACATACATATGTATTTAGAAAAGCTCCAGGCATTTATTTTAGCATTCAGAAATCCTCACTGTTGGATAAATGATGCGGTTTCCCACGTACCACGCCGTGTGTACATTGTAGAGGCTTGTATTAGTTTATCCTGTCTTCACAGTCAGGTGATAGACTGGAGAGTCACTAAAAGAGAAAGGCTGGCTCAGGCAGAGGCACTGCATTGCAGCTGTGGGATTACAGACTGGCAATGATCAAAGGACTTCACAAGAAGGACGTGTAGCAAAGATCAGGCTAGATTCCCAAAGCAGTTTATGACTGCTGGTATTTATGAACCCCCTGCTTCTACAAAACTTGAAGCCCCGCTAATTTTGCAAAGGTAACAGATTTTGATGCTCCTGAACTGTTCATTGCAGTAGCTCACACTCATGCTGCCACAAGATCTCCTGCGTGGTCTTCTGCCTTTCTAGCCTGGGGTATCCATGTACATCCCTGTTCTCTTTGCACAGTGTTTTGAGGGGCATCCACAATGTATTTTACAGAAGCCCAGGGCTTTGATAGCACTCTCCTTGGCTGTGGAGACCTGGGCATTCTGCCTGTTTCTTTTTTCCTCCAAAGCTTCCCTGGCCAAGCACAGAGAGGTGGCTTGAACCAAGGTCTTCCATATCTTCGGGTGGCCACGATCCCTGAACGGGCTTGAATGTCCTCAGCTATTTTTGTTCTTGTTGAATGAACAAGTAATTAAACAGACTTTGGTTCAAGCAAAGAGGAAAAAGTGAGAGGTTTATTCTAGATCCTTGCAGTTTGAATATTAAGAAGGGAAATGAGTATTTTAGGTTCACATCCTTGCACCCTGCCATTAGGGTTCCATATATCTGAAAAGCACTAAATACGATACACTTTCTTCAGTAGACTTTGGATAATCTGCACACCTTCCTGACAGGCAACGGGGTGGGAGCAATTCTGACTGGGGAAGCTGGAGAAATTTCAGAAAACAGAGTTATTCAGAGCATCAAAGGACTTAGCTTCAAAGACACAGTGACATGGAAGCGTCGGGAAGAGCCACTGGAATTCCACCCAGCTGTGTCTTAAAATATTCCCAGCAGCTGCCTTGAAGTATATTCTGATCCCAAGACGTTAGGCATATGGATGGGGGAAAGCACACAGCCAGAATGAGTATCTGTGGTATTAATACAAGTACCCCTCAGTTAATTAGCTCGCCTTTGAATGAATACGACATCTAAGTACCTGACAAGGTTGTACCTGACGCACCGTCCTGTTGAATGCAAAACTGTTGCCCAAAGCTCTGTTCTGGCACCTGGACTCTGCTCCTTCCCCCATCTTCCGAGAGGCTGTTTGGAAGCGTGATATAGGAATGCTGGTGGGAGCCCTCCGGCTGCAGCACGGGCTGGCTGGCTTTACAGTCCTTGGCGCTGTGGGGGTTGTTCTCAGTATCCAGGGTCTCAGTGAGAGACTCACAAGTGGACAAAGTTGATTTTGGTCTTGATGACCTGGAGTCTCCAGAAAGCTTGAGCTCCAGATTCTGAATCTTCAACATGCACCAAGTCTTCAGCTCATCCACCAAGGAAATCTATGAGAAAGAGACTGTAGGTTAGATGATCCTGTGATTAGATCCTACGGTTCCCAGGCTGCTGAGGACGTGTGGCAGGGACAAAGAGAAGCAAGCCTGGTATCTGTGGGCTTAGACTCCCTGTACAGGTACGCATGCTGCCACTGGGAATATTTAAAGGACTACAAATCAGAACAGATGAAGAACTATGCATTAGCTAATGAAAGGCACCCTCTTTAGGCCAAGCTACCCCCTCTTGGATTTGAACGTGCTACTTCAAATGCAGCTCTAAGTCCTCTGATCAAGGCTGACTTGCGTATTCATACAGTCAACGGTACTTGCTAAGTGCAAGGAATGTCACATGTGGTCAAAGCTGCCATTTTTAAGAGTGAAATTCAAATTAGACACTTCTGGGACACAGCTTTATACCATTACGGACCTCTGCTCCTCTGTTCATTTGGTGATGAGTCCAACACTAAATGATAAATTACTAACAGCTTTCAAATTACAAAGGTGCTTAATAAGTGTCAGCTACAGAGCCATTTGCCAGTGATCATTTAAAATATTAGTAGCTCTTTTACCTTCTTGTTCATGTGATATCATGAATTTAGGTCAGGCCCTCCTATACACATGGACATTTAGTAAAGCCTAACTCGTTTTTTCCAGTAGTTTCCATTAGACTCAACAGAACAGGAACAGCTGGTATCACTTAATGGTAATTTCAATTCACCTGATGTATCACTCCAGTATTTCATTTCTTAAATAGAGATTACAAGGAGATGGAGCACAAGCCCAGACATTCAGAAGCCAGTATAATACTTTTGTCTCTTATCGTGAAATAAAAACTAAAGTTGCCTTAGTTTGATAAGTACTTTTCTTTGGAGAAAAGTGTTTTGTGGATGTTAGACCAAAGTATCTTGATGAGTAGTTTATGCTGGGATTATCAGAGCTGCCCGTCTTTTAACATGGATTTGGAATTGTCTTACAAAAGGTCATGACCTTTTACTAGCACAAAGCATATTTCTCAATTCTTAGAAGAATATCAAGAATGAGAAAATTAATTGTATTTTAAATTTACCCGTGTGAGCGGAGAAACACAAATTTCTTAGCATGTTTTGATGGTGAGTTTTTGCAGAAGCTAGAAGGGCAAGAGCTGGATCTCCACGGGAACAGTTATTCTTGTCATGCTGGTTAAACAAGCATACAAAAGGAACTTGCCTACTGGCAGTAATACACAGCTTGGAGGTGGTGCACTGGTGCCAAAGTCAGAGGGAAGAACTGCAGCCTTTTAATACATGGGGAAATCAGACAGGGGAGAAGGGAGAGATTCCCAGGAGGGCACACAACCAAATGGATGAGAAGTAAAAGGAACAACACAGATCTTAGCCTTTGTTCCTATTTGCAGATGTTCCTGCAGACGTCCTTTAATGAAGCAAAAGCTGGAAGTACAACTGCTAAAAATCTAGCAGTAGGAATTTTTGCAAAGCACTGTTAGAAAAAAGATACTTTGTTATAGATCCCAGACTTCAGACCCACCAAATTGAATTATGACAGTGGGACTGGATTTCACATTCCCCATTTCTAATGCAAAAGCTTTATAAATTTGGTTTGGAGATCAAGGTGGTGGATAGGAATAATTTGGTCTCTGAAGGTCTTTTGCCTGTTTCAACAGATGAGAGAAATCTCCAATATTCTCTCTGCCTGCTGGAACAAAACTCTTGGGCCGATCCATCTGAGCTAACAGGGAGTAGCTGTTTCAAGCCCTACCTGCCGTTTCTCCCCCTCGTTTTTTTCCAGCTCAGTGTGCTGTTGCAGGCGGTGAAGGCACTCTGTTCTCTCCGCGGACAGCCGCTCAGCCATGAGCTTGTCTAAAACACGGAGCTGTGGAAAACAACACAAGTTAGCAGAGATGATCATGTTAAAAACCAAACAAAACCCCCATCTGTGAACCTTGTAAGTCGAAGTACAGTCTGTCTTTCAGTCTTCATTTCTAGGAATGCTGCCAACTACAATTAGATGTAGCTTGCAAAAAGGCTGAATCACAAAATTATCAATGGATGACAATTACATTAAAACTAAAAAATAATTTAGAGGATCCTGAATCTCAGTGCAAACAGAATTAAGCCAAGAGGGATTTTTACAATTATGAACTGACCAGCTGTAGGACTGCCTCTGTCTTTTAGTCTCACTCTTAGGGCCTCAAGCAGTTTAGATCTATTGTCTAAAGAAGCACGGGAAGCCACTTAACACATTAAATGTGTTTTTCTCAAGACCCTAGTTTGCAATATTAGATCCCTGTGGAATGTCACGGTTCCCTGATCTTGAGTATTAGCTTTCAGGTTCGTTTTTACAACACAAGAAGCGATAACCGAATGCTGACAATGAAAACATTCTTTAAGCTTAGGATATGTTTCTAATAGTCACGTGGGCAAGCAGACCTCCAGGTGATATTCTTACTTGATGTTGAGTTTTGCTTTCCATCTGGCCCAGCTTAACATTCATCTTATCTTGTACTGTCCCAAACTCAGCTTTTATCTCTTCCACCGTTGCCTCCAGCTGATTCTCCAGTTTATTTATCAGGGGCTCACAACGACATCCATTTATCGGTGCCTGAAAGGAGGAATACATTTACTTGCTACATCCCGCTGTCCTCTTAGTGCACTTGGAACATTATCGCAGCCTCCTTGAGTCAATCTTGGGCTCTTCTGTACCACATACTGTATCTCACCCTCCTGATAACATCTTACAGTAGCTCAGCCAGCAGGCTATTAGTTGGAAAAGCACGGAGTAGAAAAGGATTGATCTGATTTATATGGATGCATCCTAACACACAGCTGTGTTGATTTCGCTAGGGCTACAAGCAGCAACGAGCTCAGATCACGTATGCCGCGGTACTGCGTGCTGTATGAGGGGATACCCCATTACAGGCCTATGCCCAGTGTCTCGATGCTGTAACTCTGAATTGTACAAAAATACCTGATTTTGTGGGTATGTGTGGGTTTGTGTGCATTTGGTTTTTAACCTGATGCCAATAATGTGCTTTTTTTTCAGTACTGTATGGCAAGGTCTCACTGTTCCTGTTTGCCTTCACCCTGCCGGCATTCAGCTGACCCTTATCTGCTGTGCACACCGCTGCCTTCCTTTGCTCTGCACGACACCGTCCCAAGGCTCCTCTGCAAAGGGAGCTGCACTGACCACATTTGAATCTCTCAGGGAGACGGTCACAAAAGGCTCCCTCAAGCTAATCCTCATCGGCTTCCTCTGCAGGCCACCGGCAGAAAGTGGCTCCTTCAGGGGGTGAGTCAGGAGCCCAAAGCGGCTGCTCTGAATCTGTCTGCAGAGGAGCCTCCCTCTCTCCTTTGGCCCCTGCAGTACTGTTTCAGAAATTGGTGGTTATTCTCTTGGCAGGGGAAGGCAGGTGGTTTGCTGAGCACTAAAGCAAGCTTCAGAAATACACATACTTAAGAAATTCTGTTTGCTATTCAGGGCCTGAGGGCATCAAAGAAGACAGACGAGGAAAAAAGAAGGGGAGAGAGGATTGTCATGTATTTCAGGCAATACTATAAGGGATTCTAGCTCTATGAAGCTAATCTTTGTGAATACATTAGATTTGTATACAAATCCTGTCTGCTCTCTGCACCTCTCTTCCTGCTCCCCAAGTCCTTCCTACTCGCCCATCCTCCTCCCATCAGATCCTAGGGGCAGGGAGATACTCCTTTTAACACATGAAAGGTCCTCCATCCTTCCCAATGTCTGCCCAGAGTGCCCCTGTCTGGAAATTTCCCAAGCATTACACAGCGAGGTGTTGGAAAATACGGCCAGTAAAACCTTTGAAGCCTGACTTGAGTGATCTTCAGAATCTGCTGAATTTCTTAACTACAGCAAGGGACTGAGGAGGGCTGGTGGATGGATGTGAGAAGCTAAGGAAATGAAAGGATTGACCTCCCAGGGGTACAGGAGGGCGGCATTATGAAAACAACAATACAGGCGTTACAATGTCTACAGGGTAATTTGCTGACTGTTTTCATGCTTTTTAATAAACGTGTACTGGTAAACACTTGCATAATAAAATGAGTAAAATATCAGTCTCTAAACTGGAATAAGTGCACATGAGCTGGTAACTCCAGGTTTATTTGTGAACCAATTTCTGTACAGCTCCTGCCTCCAGTAATCCTAGAATCCCCAAAGACATCTTGCAGTAAACAGAAAGAATTGAAACAAAATGTATCGAGCGTACTCAAGCTCTTGGTTTAGGTAGTAAGCTTCAGTGCTCACAGACTGCTCTCATTTATTTCCCTTGGAAAAGCTCTTTGTGTTTCCTGTTGGAAATCTTAATATTTCGAAGTGTATCGTAAAAGTTCCGGTGTCATTGCCAGTCACCGTTCACACCTGATCTCCAAAAAGGAAACGTGTTGTAGATCAAAACTAGTTACGTATATCTTCTTTAACACGCACAAAAACAGCTTATTGTTTACCAGACTTCAGGCCAAAATGCAGCTGAAGCCCAGGTGAGAAAACCAAATCCACAGTCGTGATTTCATAGCCTTGAGAGCGCAGTGACCTGAGTGCGTTTTCTATCCGTTAGCTAACTGTGCCCCAGCTCCAAGTGCTGGTCCCCGTGCCTCCCTCCCGGCGGGCGCGGGCCGGCTCACCTGCATCACCTTCCCATCCTTCCCTCGATAGAGCGTGTACAGCTGGTAGGCTCGGACCTCGTGGGGAGGGGGCGGAGAGGAGCAGTGATGTTTACTCCTGCGCTTAGGCACGTTTTGCTGGGGCCGAGGGAGCGTCTGCTGATCGGCTGGGGAGATGGGGTCCGAGAGTGCTGAAACCTGCGTAAAATACACACGTTTTTCCTGTTTATGAGCCCCCTGGTAAACCATTCCTGGTGGGAACGGGACAAATCCATCATGACAACTACAGCAAAAACCTGATTAAAACACCGATCCAGCTGCAGTGGCTGGCCACAACCCTGGTGTCTGTCAGCATGATAACCAGATTTCTGCACAAACCTGGTTCATGTGACCCTCAACAGCAGAATTTCCCGACCAGAAATCGGTTTTGTCTGAAGACTACCTCTGTCCCAGGAGCACGGCAGGGCTGCTGCCCTGACTCACCGACCCACCAAAGGGACACCTGTACTATTGCTCAACAACTATCCCTTCTCTCTCTGCTCTTTTAAATCTACTGATACCTTTTCCTTTGGCTTTTTCTTTTTGCTCTTCTTCCCTTTGGGATCTGGTGAGGTTGAGCGGGGTTCATCCTTCAGATCGCTCTTCCTCTGCGGTGGCTGGTCGCTGCTCGGCGTGTCGTCAGCAGCCGAGATGCTGCCCTGCTTGAAGCAAAGACAGGGAGTTCAGAGCAGTTGCAGAGATGGGGAAAAGGCGCCTTTTCTTCAATTTCCCAGTTTTAAGCTGCTCTGCACACACGAGTGGGTAACTCTTTAGCAGCTGTCTCAGACAGCCACGGTCATGCACAAGTGACGGCTCCAAATAGAGTTAGTCCCGATGGGTTTTATTTACGCTCCCTCCTTGCAGCAGATGTAGCTGGTAATGCTGGGCTGTACCTTGCTCTGTACCACTTCATCCCGTGGTACTGACTGAGCTCGCCTTTCTTCCTTCAGCCTCTCTCTCTTCTTCCTCAGGCTTCTTCCACGGTTAAAGCGTGAGACCTGAAGGCAGACCACACTGTTACTCAGTGATGTCGTGCTCTTTCCTACCACAGAAGCCAGGCAATAGAGCAGACCTTTTTCACCTCCACTAAAAAGCAGCATAGAAAAGAAAGTGCACTGCCAGATGGATGCTGATGGGCCAAGCAATGTGGGTGTTCATAGCTCAGTGGTGGTGTGTTCTCATGGCTAAGTCCATCAGGGCACTTTGCTGTCCCTTGGAGGGGCGAGAGCCTCCTGTCCCCCCAGGCTGGCTGCCAAGCCAAGCCAAGCCCTTCTCATGCAGAGGTGACAAGGAGGAGCAGGGCAGGGATCGCACCTGGTCTCATACCAGAATACAGAGCCCTCCCAGGTGCTCTTGTGCCTGAAGAGCGTTGTAGCATTTCACACACAGCAGCAGAGTATAAACAGGACATTTTGTCCCCATTTCGAAGCATCTTCCAGTGTGAGCAACCGTCCTGGGGGTGGGAGAAGTCTGAGGCAGGCAGCAGAGGAACACGAACTGGGAGCTTTTGGGTACAGGGCCACTGCAGGGAACAACCTGCCAGTCAGGACAGCCAGGATCTCTGCCAGCGCTTAATACTGAGGCTTAATCTGCACACCTTGCTGGGCTTGGGGGCTGAAAGGCTCCACGTCAATAGCCCTGAGGCCACCACACAGTGCCAGCAGAAACGTAGGCACCTTTCACAGCAGAAGGTTAAGGACCAGGGGATGTGGCCCCTCTAGGTTAACTGGCCTCAGCATCATGTGTATGTGTGTGTTGGGGAGAGATTTGTAACATACCTGTGATGCTTTAGTGAGGAGGAGCGCAACCTCAGGGTTATTGTGCTGTCTGGCAACCTCTAGAGGGGTCTGACCTGCCTGAGAGGAAAAAGAAAACGGCATTTCCTTCAAAACACAAGCTGCTGGAAATGTGGAATTTCTCCACCCGAGGTTGGCACATGCTCTGCGCACAACAGCATAGTGACTAACTGCCTTCATTGACCCAGATTTAATTTAATTCTTAACATCCAATGTTTTCTACCAACACTAGACAGAGTGTTCAAGAGAGTCTGTGTTAAGAGAGAGTTGGGGTTGTTTAGCCTAGAGAAGAGAAGGCTCCAGGGAGACCTTATAGCAGCCTTCCAGTACTTATAGGTGGACTACAGGAGAGATGGGGATGGACTCTATCAGGGAGCGTAGTGATAGGATGAGGGGTAATGGTTTTAAAATGAAAGAGGGTAGATTAAATTAGATATTAGGAAGAAATTCTTCACTAGGAGGGTGGTGAGGCACTGGAACAGGTTGCCCAGAGAAGCTGTGGGTGCTCCATCCCTGGAAATGTTCAAGGCCAGGTTGGACGGTGCTTTGAGCAACTGGTCTAGGGGAAGGTGTCCCTGCCCATGGCAGGGGGGTTGGACTGGATGATCTTTACAGTCCCTCCCAACCCAAACCATTCTATGATTCTAATACAAAGTACCAAAGAAAGTCCACGTCCTACTTACATTGTTGACAACAGATGCATCAGCCCCTGCCTCCAGCAACAGCTTAACCACCTTCCTGTGATTTAGAGCAGCAGCTACATGGAGCGCAGTATCTCCTGCCTGCAAGTTACAAAGCAGAAAGCAACCGTGTAACACACATCCTTGGGTCTCACCCTGCAGAAATCACACCTTCCTAAAAGATGCTCAGAGGTCAAAAGACCTACACTTACTGATGCAACAACTAAGCTTAAATAAGGCCTGGTCAATAAAAAAGCAGAGTTGGGAGGAAGGGGACAGGAGGGAGCAAGGAGCTACTTCAGGGTAAGGACCTACTTCAGCCTGGTTTTGAGAAACGCAGCTGGGGCACTGGCGATCTGGTTTAACTAAACCGACCGACGCACAACGCAGCTTGGAGACAGCCCAGCTCTACCACCAGCAAACAGATACGACATCTGAGGGCAGAACCACTTTTCCCACCACAACCTTCTCTTTTTTTGCAGGTTTGATTATTTGGTGTGCAGGTGGTCATGTATCACGTTACTCAAAAAAAATCAAATAAGTACCAGCAGCGAGATGGTTGCTGTTCTCTTCGTGAGATTCCTCAAGAGAAACAGGTTTTGGACCAAAGCCAGGAGGCAATCTGGGTCCAGCACTAACACACTGCCCTGCCCTTGTCCCGGTGCAGTGAGGTGAAGACGGCTGTGATCAGATTCGGGCACCGGTAACAGAGCGAGCAGCTGTTCAAGGCAGCCCAGACACGTGCATGTAATGCCCTCCTGTCCCCTTTCCCTTCAGAAAATCAGATCTCCCCGAGAGCAGTGGAAATCTATTCTTTGTTGCTAACTTGGATGAGGCATGTTCATAAATTAAATCATTGTATGTGCAAATATGGAACAACTTTGGGTAGTGCTGGGGCCTGAAGCAAAGCGGTGTCTCTCTGGGCCAGGTTCACACCAGTTAATATTCAGTAGCTCATTTTGCAAGTTAAAAAACTAATTTCCAAATAAAATTACGTAGTAAATTTAACATGCTGAAACCCGTTTTGTTTGCTGTAATATCTCTTATCTAAGAAACAAGATTAAATGTACAAATCAGAAAACCTCTTTATGATCCTCAACTACACATGGAAAATTTCCCAGGAACATAAGACAATGTGGTTAAGCACCATATAATCTGTTTATTTAGCAGAGTTAACACATTTTAACGTACTAAATCCATTCCCTTCTACCACCCAGTTAGGCTATGCTATAGGTACAGCAATCAATTACTTCCCTATAAACCAACTATGGATGATTAATCCTAGGTTAGACTGGTCATTACTTTGAATTTAAAGCATACTTTTTCTTCACTTTTATGTCTTTTTAATTCCCACTACTGCAAAATGCAGCAAAGTATTCCAGAGAAATTCACACTTTTGCAGCATCTGAATATTAGTGAGTTCTGCTTCACAATGTCTCTGTAATGGCTGTAGGATCATTAAAACCTAGCTACAAAGGAGACAACGGGACCCCATAAAACGACGAGTCTCTTGCCCAGTCCCATTCTGCACAGAACTGGTAAGGACTCAGGAGCGCCAAGCCCTGCCCCTACACCACTACCCCTGTCCTAAACCCCCCTTTCTACACCAACATACGACTGCAGAACCTCATAAATAGGCAATGCTTTAAAGAAATGATGCAAATGCGATGGCAAAACAATAAACCACTGATATGCCATTACTTTAAGGCTATTCTTAAAAGCTCAGGCACTTGGTGATACAGTGAAACACAAACTGAAGTTGGATTCCTTGGGTAGGAATCCCTCTTTCCAACAACTAGCCGTATGCAAAGGGCGTAGAGTCGCAATGAGGTTCATGCACTGACCTGGTTCTTTTCATGGACAGAACAGAAAGCACTGAGCAGCACCCTAACGATGGGCAAGTGATTATAACGAGCAGCCACATGCAGACAGGTATCTCCTGCCTGCAAACAGAAACAAAGCTCTGAGCATGTAATTGCAATAAGAAAGCTTGCACTTGTCATGGTGTACAGGGATGAAATACTCGTATTAAACCAAAAAGAGCAGTAAATGTCACACACCTCCACTGAACAGCAATGCTGTCTTCTCTGCAGTACAAAATCTACTATCATGGGTGGGAAGGTTTAGCAAGACCTGGGGTCAGGCAAGGTGGGGGTACTAATTCTTTAACCACCAATGGGAAATACTGGAATTATAAAATGCTGGTTGACTGCACTACAAAACCTGATTTACATTTTTACATTAAATCTGTTCTTCTGAACTGCAAACCAGTGTGATCTGGAACCTCAACTCGGTGTTACACATAATGAAGAAAAGATGCGGAGTGGGGGCCAGAGCAGCGTCCCCACAAGGGGTGGCACCTGCGCAGCTGGGACTGGGAGCAGAGCCCCATGGGTTTCCATGTCTGTGTGCCTCTGCCCACCTTGTTATCGAGCAGGGACAAAAACATCTGGCATCCTTTTGTAGATTTTTTTTTTCCTTTGTCATGCCAGAATCATTATAAAATAGGAGGGAAGCTGTCTGAAATTGAAGTCACCTTGAATCTACCTCATTTGACAGACCGACACACACTATATACTATCTCAGTGAGGGCAGGTCTGAAGGCTTTCTCTGCTCTGGCACAAAACCCCTTTAAGATTTCCATCTTTTTGAGAGAGGAGCCCTTTTGCAGAATTGCACGGCACTACGTGGGTCAAGCCATCAGGACCACAAAAAGCAGCAAAGGACCAGCTGCCTCGGTCTGTGCTACAGCAAAACCCCCTTTGGCTCCTTCCATCCCCACTCAAGGGATGGGTACAAGTAGTGCATCGCTCAGTCCTCTCAAAAGCATTCCTGTACATGATGTATACAACGGTCTGTTAGTGGTTTTTTTTCAATAGCGTTTATAATAAAAATCACAGCTTAAAGCATTTCTGAGTTATTTCTACAAGTTAAAGCAATATAGCTAAAACAAAGGCACACAAAAATGAACACATTCTTTTCAAAACTCACATTATTTTTGAGGTCTGCTCGAGATCCTCCAAGTAACAAAACACGAGTACTCTGGGAATGGCTATTCTGGCAAGCCAGGTGAAGAGGTGTGTTACCTGCCTTAGAGAAATACAGGAAAATATAAAAGCCGTATTTAGAAATTGGATATAAGCATTAAAAAATAAAACCTCACAGGTGTTCCCACAACAAGATACACCCAAGGTGGGAAACTGTCACTGTTGTTTTCCTGAAGATATGAGCTGAATGAACCTGGAGACTGAAATACCCTCTCAATTGTGGAAATGATTTATCTGGGATACAGTAAAGGCAGAAATTGGACAGTCTAACAACATCAGCATTGCTCAAGCCTGTTTGCAGGAAGCTAAGACTCTAGAAACTGTCTATTCATATCAAATAGCACTATCAAGTATTTCATTTAAAGAAATATAATTCTTGTGTTTTGAGTTTCCCCCATGCACACACACAAAGAAACACACTGCCACGGCACAGCATCTCTGATAACAAGCAAAGCCGGCCACGACTGCTGCAGGGTGTTGGGCCGATGAGGGTCACAGTGATTTCTGTTTCTTTACGATCGTAACACAAACCAGCTCCAAGTCTGGCTGGGTCTGTAGGTGCTCTCAAAGGGCAGGATGCAGATTTTAGGCTATCAGGAAGCTTCAAGGTTCAGAAAGCACGCCAGCCTCCAGCCAAGATGAGAAGGGGAAAAAAAAAGCCACCCAAACCCCAGAGAATCACATGCTAAGGCTCCTGAAGAAGCAAACATGCAGTTTTTATGGACAGAAATCAAAGAAAAGTTTGCTTGTCTTTCTAACACTGTGAAGGATTTTATTGGTCTGAAAGTTTTTCTGACAGCATTTGGCTTTTGTTGGCCTGAAAATGTTTGGGGGTTTTGGCTCTTGGGAGCTGGAAATAAAATCAGCTCAGGTGAAAAGGTTTCCCATGCTTACTATGCTGCCTGTTCGCTTTGATTATGTCCCTTAATTTGTCCCCCATGCTTTCAAGACACAGATCAAAGCTGCAGGGTTTGAATTACAAAAGGCCAGCTCTTCGATGTGGTCTTAGGTCTTCAGTTCCACATTACAGATTATTTCAGGCCTGAATGTAGTCTCTAAGCTGTGGCAGATATGAACATTTTCTCAGCTAAATTGCATTTAAGTGTAAATTTTTTCCCTCCTGGGTTTATCTCTGAAAAGCCTCTGCAATGTCTTTATCATTTGCTGTTTGGGAGGTCAGCCCCGGTGGGATGGCAGAGAGGTCCCGTGCAGTAGGTGATGGGCGAAGACCTCGATGCTGGGAGAAGTCACAGCGCTGGTGCCTGGGGTCAGGGCTCACAGAGCAGCCTCATCTGGCTCATCTCCCACGGGGTGACAAACCTCTCACCAGCTTCTGCGAGAGGGAGAGTGGGTCCGAGTTGTACCTATCGGGGTCTTCACTGGTCTACTGAATCTTCACTGGAATGTACAGACTGATGAAGGGTCTAAAAGAAAGGCTACAACTGGTCTCACGGGATGTTCTATTGCAGTGGAAGAGTTTTTATTAAGCCAACTTGACTAAAAATAAACTGCATCTCCAGGGTGATTGCTGCACAGGAGGAATACGCTACCCAAGTGGTTTACCCACATGTTGTCCCATTCCTCAAATGCCTGCCTGACTTGCCTTTAAAATCCCAGGTGTCCTGTCTGGCCTCTGCATTTCACTTAATATAGAAGCCATCTTCAATTGCATTGCTCTTTTATATACTGTGCTTAAGGTGCTGGGCTGCAAGAAGTGCATCCATGCAAGTGTTCCCCAAGCAGTCCCAGGAGATATTAACCAGGAGTTACAGAAAATACAGAGTCAAATCCCTCCCATCTTCTGCTGCTTAGCAGGGTTTGGCAAATCTAGCAGCCCATATCTGTCCCATCCAGCCAAAATCACACAATGCCCCGGTGTAAGTCAACAGCCCGTAGGGTGCTCCGGCACAAGGCACTCAGCCCTGGCTGCCAGAAAAGCTGTCAGAAAGATTATGCCTTGTTGTCAGTATCATAAAAAGTTGAGAGACCAAAGAAACCATTTTGGGATTAAGCAGAACTAAGCTCTTCATTTTTCTTGAAAGCAAAAGGGGTAAAAGCATGTGCATGTGTGCAAGCATGCACAATTCCCGCATTTTTCATCAGCTCCTGAGAAAGGATCCTGTCCATTAAAAAACACCCAAATGATGAAATGCAAAGGGAGAGGATTGTGCGGGTAAGACATCAAAGACCAGTGCTCATGCAGTATTAAAGTCTGCCAGTCATATTTCAGACATCAGTCTTGCTGAGCTACTCTGTGCACATACTTTCCAAGAGAGGTTGTCTCCCAACAGTTGACATTCTCTGTATTGTAAGCTAAATCTTTTAATACCGTGAGGCATCCAAGCATGCAGGATAACCAGACTCGCATCTTAAGCCCACACACCTTTGTGTACACACATGTATGTGTGTGTACGTATGTGTACACACATACACGGCCGTATGGAGTATAATGGTTCACAGGACTATAAAGTCAAACACTATTGTCTGTTACATGTAAGCATGGGAAGTTGTCTAAAGTACCTCTCATACAAATCTAGGCGAACATTACAGCAAAAAAAATTACACAAAATAAAAATTGAAAGTTGGAACAATATAAAAGAAGGAATACACATAAAATAATATCAAAGATGAGGTAACTACAGACCGCAACGTGACCACAATTGTACAAACATATGCATATATGCACACATGCACATACAGAAACACTACGCCCAGGCAATGTGCCTTTTTACTCCAAATCTTGGACTTTGGCCACCTGTCTCCCTTCTTCCCTTTCTTTGCTAGCCCCTTTCAGTTGTTGTTTTAGAGACACATTTACCTAAAAATGCTCAGAGATCCCATGAAGCCATCCCAAAGCTCTCTTGCCTGTAACGAAGGACTACCCGTGTGATCTGACTCATCAGCACAGCGGTCCAAACCCTAACTCAGCTCACGCCATAGCCTGCTACTGCCGTTTCCTAGACTATTCCATTAATGTTTGATTTAGTGAATTGAAGACAAGTCTCCCACAGGTATTACAGTTAGAGTGGAACTAAATCCCCTTGCTGTGTTATTCTTTCCTCTAAACTGCTCTCAAGGTATTATAAATACCAAAAGGAAGATAATCCAGTTCATTACAAGATTTTGGTGAGAGCCTACACTCATGTGTTAGGAACAATTTTCTAACAGAAGACACACTCTATTTTTCCCTCTGTGGCTTACATTCGACTGTTCAATTTCTGAAAAAAAAAATGGATTTTGAATACCGTTTTCCTATTAGTACAATTCATTTTCATTTTAAAATCACAGCAATCACAATGAATCCGCTCGGTATAAATTAGAGCACTGTGGAGATTTCCACCGGAATTGCAGTGCTCCTCAGCAATAATTAATGTATCATTCAACACGCTGTTGAGTTCCTCCTGCATCAGCTATCAAAATATGGATTTCCTAATGCCTGTGGAAGAACCATCCAGGCGTAATAAATGCAAAAAAAGAAGAAAAAAATCTCACCAGGAACTGGTCCCCACCCGCTGAGAAATGCCATGGCCAGAATTCTCCAGTGCTGAGAATCAGCCACGTTACACCAGAACTGAAAGCTCCTCCTGCATGGGTCTCACCTTGTTCTTGGCAAGAACGTTGGCTCCTGCTTTAACCAGCACTTTGGCAGACTGACTGAATCCATGCCAACAAGCTTCA